CCTTGGTTCCAAGTTGCTTCTCTCCTTGATTAGTTTCCACCCATTGCTTCTTGCCCTACCCACAGGTGCTTTGGAGAATAGGTTGACCCCTTCTTCTTTGGGGCAGCCCCTCAAATAGACATAGGCAGTTCCTCAACTGTTCTTCCTATGTTTTAGCCTCCAGTCCCCTAATCCTCTTTGTTGCTCTCCTATTAAAGTATAACATCTACTGTATATTTTCTGTATATTTCCCTTATACAATTAAATGTTTTCTGCGTTCAAGGCACTTACCAGTCCTGTTAACAAGCTTTGTTGGTAATCTTCATCTTGAAAAAGGGGAGCTATTCTTTCTTCTGAAAGTAAGAGAAAGAGGGAGGGAGGGGGAGAGAGATGGTATAGGAGGGGAAGGGGGAGAGGGAGAGAGAAGGAGGGGGAGAGAAGGAGAGGGAGGGAAGGAGGGGGAGAAAGGAAGGAAGGGGGAAGGGAGAAGAGGGAGAGGGGGAAAAGAGAGGGAATGGGGAGAGAGGGAGGGAGAGAAAGAGAGCAAGAAGGGAGAGAGGGAAGGAGGGGGAGAGAGAAAGAGGGAGGGAGGGAGAGGAGGGAGAGGAGGAGGGAAGAGAGGGAATGAAGGGGAAAGAGAGGGAAGGAGAGAAAGAGGGGAGAGAGGGAGAAGGAGGGAAGGAGGGGGAGAGTGAGAGGAAAAGGGAAGGAGGGAGAAAAAGGGAGAACAGAGAGGGAGAGAGGGAGGGAAGGGGAGAGAGGGAAGGAGGGAGAGAAAGAGGGCAAGAGGGGAGAGAAAGGGAGAAGGGGAGAGAGAGGGGGAGAAAGACAACAGCTAGTTTAGAGGACAAATACTACAATTTCAATATTGTTTTGCCAACAGCAGCCCACACAATCCTTGCTTAACAATGTCAACTGGGATTGCCGTTGCTAAGCGACACCACCCTGGGATGTCCCATTTTACAACCATGTCATTTAATGATGGCCATTCCGAAATTCCAAATTGCCATCATTACCCAAGGACTACCTGTAATTTGTTTTAAATATTTCCACCAGATAATAAACGGAAGCACCATAAACACAACATCCTGGGGGCGCAGTGGTTGGAAATGCAGTTAGTATTGCCAGCTGACTCTGTCAACTGTCAATAGTTCAATCCTGACCGGCTCAAGGTTGACTCAGCCTTCCATCCTTCCGAGGTGGATCAAATGAGGATCCAGATTGTTGGGGGCAAGAGGCTGACTCTGTAAACCGCTTAGAGAAGGCTATAAAGCACTGTGAAGCGATATATAAATTTAAGTTCTATTGCCCTTCCTTCCTTCCTTCCTTCCTTCCTTCCTTCCTTCCTTCCTTC